ATTGGAAAAAATCGTATGCGCGCAATTTTTCATAGAGTAAATAATAGTAGAAGTAACTAAACAACGAACCTCGCACGGTATGCGCATCCTTAGCCGTGCGATTGGCCATCTGAAGGAAACTATGTCAAACCTGACAACTCAGCTCAATTACCTGAACCAGTATCACAATAACGGAAAACAAGGAAAAGATTATTCACAGAACATGCGGCATATAACGCACACTTCCCGATAAAGGCTCTGTGCCAAACATAAATTTGTATAACTTTTCAGATAATTGGATTATGACCCATGTAAATTGACGGAAAAGATGGAGAAGAATTTATTTTCACAGACACACAACAGCAAGAATCTCCTGACCATGGGCCACAAATAATACAACCATCAATAAATTTTCTTTTTGACAATTTCAGGCCGCCATACGATGGGATGTGTTTCTTCTGTCTGAAATGAAGAATATCAGAAGCGCACAGAAAACCACACAATCTTAAGTGATGCACTATTAGCTACTCATTGTACATCCTCAGAAGTGCTATCCTGAAGCCTGTAAGAGATAAAAAATGACTCACCGCCTCTTCATCCTCTTTGTACATTTTGATGGTTTTATCTGCTTCTCCAGTGATAAGACGTAAGCCTGTTTTATCATAACACATCGCATATATACCAGCCTCAGAATCGATGGATCCCGGTTGCGGCTTTGTTTGTATTTTCTAGAAGTAAAAGGTACAATGTAAAAAATTTTGCAATAGCAGAAGCGGGACTAACCTGAAAGCAAAAACCTGAACGCCAATCCCAGAAACATATGGATCCGTTGTCGCCTCCAGATACAAGAACACCGTCCTCGTTGCAAACCAATGAATTAACTATTGCATTATGTCCAGAGAGATTCTAAAATTATCCTCTCAATGCAGGCAGATAGTGTATGTCTGGCAGATGCATAAGAGTAAATCCGACCATTCTTAACAATGATTTTGAGTCATAATCCTCATCTTATGCACCTAGGTCTCATAATTGGAAGATTTCACTATATAGAGCAAAGGCGACAACTCTCACGACGCACATGTATTGAAGGAGGAGATGGCTACTCCCTCAGAACATACAGTTTTGACATTAAAAGTGATGAATTTGTAGAGAAATATGGATTCTTTGACCAGAATAGCTA